GAGAGAGAGAGAGAGAGAGAGAGAGAGAGAGGTTTTAACATTTAAGAGCCGGTTCTCTGGCTTTTATGCTAACTATTATCCAGATCTCGAAAACTCTGTTCAAATGTCAAAATAATTGTTATTCAGACGGTTATGGTATTAATGTTAAGCTGTTTTTCTGAATTACATTATTATTCTTTATTGTATTATAAGTTATATTTTGGCAGTAATTTTCTTTATGTGAAAAAATCTCATTATTTTAATACATTCAATGAATTTCATCACAAATAAGTGATTCGCTAATCATTTGAAAGCATTTCTCATTTTTCTTATGAATTAAGAGGCGATTCACTAAAAGAAGAAAACATTTCATAAAATATATTATTTTTTTCGATTTAATTGATTGGTTCAGAAAATTAATTGATATTTTCATATATAAAACGTTTTATCAATTTTATTTGAAAACTATTGAAATGGTTGTTGAAAATCAAAAATAAGTTTTTAATAGTTTAATAGACTTATAGTTAAAACTCACTTACGATATAAACACTACACGAGAAGCAGTAAATTCATGTGAACTTGAATTCGTATGAAAAACAAGTTTTTTCACTGACTTTTAAAATTCATAAATAATTCTTCGCTCGCATTGAGAACACAAATTCCTCGTGTGTTTGAAATACAGCTAAACCTTAAAGTTGTTCAAAGATCACATCCAATGCATTCATAATTGATTGCAAACCATTCAATAATACCCTCTCTTTCTTTTCTTTTCTCTCTCTTTCTCTCCGATGTATGCAATTATTTCTCAAATCAATAGAAATATACTGTTAATTATTAGCATTTAATAACATATTACCAGTTAGTTATTAAAAGTTTTAGTAATCAAATACAATTACATTTTATCTCATATTCTATCAAATAAATACAACTATTTTCTAATGAAGTGGTATTTTATTTTCAAAGTTATACAAAAAATATGAAGTTTGAAAGAAGGAAAGGAGAGAGAGAGAGATAGAGAGAGAGAGAGAGATGAAAATATTTTGCAAAATTATTTATTCAAATATTTGAAAATATTTTATTAGCTATTTATTTGATATTTGCATGACTTGAAAGTGAAGAGCAATTACTATAGATATCATGAGTGAGTTTATATAATAAATCTCTACTTATGAGATGACGAGTGATGTATTGGTAAAGTTATAGTCATATCATGTAATACCTAGAGATAAGAGGGGCTAATCTACTATATAAAGCGATTCCTGTGTTATCCTATGCGACAAAACCATAAGGAATGCCAAACAAACTCACATAATATCACACAATATTTGATGAATGAAATGTTTATACAATGTATTCGTGACTACTATAGAGTGACTCAGTTTTTGATTACTTCTGAGAAGTTCTGAGAAATATATCTTATCTCACATTATATGACACACAACAACACAAATGACATAATTATATATATAAATATACAATATATTTAAGCCGTAACCGAATGGTAAGGTTATGAACGGTATGTTGTTTTCCATTTCCACGACAGCCATAAAACCAGTGCCGAAGGCGACCATAAAAAGCCCACAATTTGAGTTCTCGTAGCCATACATACGCGCCTTTCATATATTATATCGCATTTCTATACAGTATTTCAATAATCCTTTATTACATTTAAAGATTTTTATTTATTTAGAATTACAAGTTTGTCATCAAATTTTGATCTATAAATATAAAACATTCGTTAATACAAGTGATTCTCGCTATAGAGTTATTTCGATAGCAATTACACTATTAAAAGCAAAATTAAATACAAAGTTTATTAATAGCTTTTTTCAGAGCTTTGTTTTTTAAAGAGTATTTATGTATATTATAAGAGAAGAGTGTTTTTTAAAAGCCCAGAAGATAGAGAAAAAGGAGATTTCATTTATATAAACGATTTGTTCCCACAAATACTCTGTTGTTATATAATATATACTGTTATAGCAATTAATTGTAAGGACTATTAAATGTATTTAAAAGTTTAAAAGAATTTGTTTTATAAACTGACATCACTTTGAATGTTAAAAAGGTTTTGTCGAAAAAATGGTTTTATTTAAATCTCGTTATCAAATCAATGTTTAGTATAAAGTGTTTCGCAGCACCGAATCGACAAATGGTTTGAAACTTATGGTAAAATCTAAGTGTTGTTTGAAAATTTCATTAAGCGTTTCGAGTTTTCTTCAATTATTGTAATTCAATCTGTTTTTCGGGAAATAAAAGCATGAAATTCGAGGATAGAAAACATCCTAAACAGAGATTTGTTGTTTGTTTTGACAGACAGATAGTGTTTTAGCTGTTGTTTGTCTAATGAGAAAATGAGTAGTAGTTATATCACACATTCCATGCATTTTGAATAATAATAATCAAATAAAAACAATGAGCACACAATCACTTTATATGGTAATACACTTTATGAGCAAATTTATAAAAATTAAAAATAGGTTTTTCACAATTAAAAAATGCCAACAAAAAACTGTTTACGTTTTATGCCATTAATAATTAGATTTACTTTTCTTACAAGAATTTTCGAAATCAAATCAATACTAATAAGTTTTACAGCGAGAAAACAAAAGCATCTTTTAATTTGTAATAATAATATTAAAATCATTTTAAAAACTTTTAATGGTATAAAAAATACTGTCTGTCATGCGATGCAAATAAACTTATATATTATGCGATCAACCGATTAATTTCATCTCAGTTTAAATGATATTCATATATAAAAAGAAGAAGCGATGGAATGCCATATAGAGAAAGAGTAGACAATTAAGTTGTGATTAATTGTTATTGATTTTGAATTGTATCGATATTTAGATGTTTTAAAAGTGAACAAAAGAGTAAAATAGATATTTAGAAATAAGACGGCAGTAGTATTACAACGGGTTTAAGAACTTACGTTAAATGCTATGACATTATGAGTTTTTTTTTATAAACTAAGACCTAATGTATGGTAAAAATGTGACCAAATATTATAACATATGAGTAGTAATTCATTTGTAGCACAATTTCAATTATAGTTTATAAGTTATACAATCAACAGCTGATATAAGAGGGTTTCAGCGCTTATACTGTATACCGTTTCAATAATAATAATTAAATATAATATATAAAAAATCATTTAAAATCAAAATTACTTAAGAATTTAGTCCCAAATGAATAATTAAAAAAAATTAAGAAAATTGGCTCAAAAACAAAGTAGAAATTGATTAAAATTTTTGGTCATTTGATGGGCTGTTGAGAGTATGAGAGAAGAAATGAATTAATTATTGATAACTACAGAACGAATTCATTCTTTTTTGTCGCCCGACTCGTCGGTCGCTTCGGTTTTGGCCGCCTCTTCGGTCGCACTCTCTTTGGTTTCTGGCGTCGATTCCGTCGGCTTCGCTTCGGCCGCCTTTTCCTTCTCTGCCTTCTCGGCGTCCGCTTTCTCTTTGTCCGCCTTTTCCTTCGCCTCCTTCTCTGCTTTGTCTGCCTTTTCCTTCTCCTCCTTATCGGCCTTTTCTTTGTCCCGCTTCTCCTTCTCTAGTCTATCCTTCTCTTCCTTATCCTTCTTCTTGCGCTCCTTTTCCTCCGCGTCTTTCAACTTCTTCGCCTCTCTTGCCTTCACTTTATCGTCCTATCAATTATTAAAACAATTTGTTAGAAAAGTAGTGACATTAATACGCGGACAGCAGTGACTCACCTGTTGTTTCTTTTTCTCCTCTTTCTTCTTCTTGTCGTCCTCTTTCTTCTGTTCCGCTTTCTTGATCTTCTCGGTCTCCTCAGGCGTCAGCTCTCGTTTAGGCAAATGTGGATTCATATCTAAGGTGCTGCAGATGGTGTCCCAATCGGCCCAATACTTGGCTTTCATGCGCTCGGCGTGCTGTACAAGGTTTGAGGTCTCGGTTTCCATCCATTCCTTGAATCCGCCGAATGGGATGTACAGGAACTGCACGACATGTGCGAACGCCACACAATCCAACTGTTTTTCCACATGAAAAACACAAAAATGAATAACAAAATCGTTAAAAGCGTGTTTGTGTGCTGTGTTTATGGCACTGGAATGCGAGCGCATTCACAGCACAACACAGTTTACACAACACATACCAAATGAGGCTCTTTGCCAAAGAAGAATTCCTTGTCGCCCAAGAAATCGCTCAGAGATTTGAGGTCAGACCTGCCAAACTCGTAGATCTCTTCTTCTGAGTGGTGGCCTAATCCGTGTCCGACGACGTGCTTAACGTTCTGTCAATGCATTAAATCAAATGTGTTTAGAGCG